AGCAAACTGGGTAAAAAATATGCAGATGTACCCAATCAACATGCTGGAAATAATATTGATACTCCAGCTCGCTTATACGAATGGCTATGTTATAAATATCAGATAGAAACAGTTGGGACACAACAAGTTGCTCTCCAGAGGCTAGCTTACGAAAAATTTTTACCTAATGATACACCAGATACATATGAGACTAGGATACGTCCCTTATTATTAGGAGTTGCTAATAACGATGCTAATGCCTTGTCATTCCTTATGAATCATTTGCCTGATGAGATTTTTAACCGAATGGAAAGTACAAATCCTGCAGATACCAATGCATTTTTCACTAATCTTAAGAATTTATGGCTCAAACGTAGGCCTTCTTCATTTAATTACGGAAATGCAAATAGTATAAATGGAACGACATTTCAACCACCTCAGCAGATCGTTCAACAGCCAGTATTCCAACCGCCTCAGCAAATCATACAACATCCTACGTTTCAACCGCCTCAACAAATCGTTCAACAACCTGTATTTCAACAACCAGAATCTCAACTATTTCAACGAAATTTTCGTCCCAAAACTGAGAAAGCCAAGTACTATGAAGAGTTAAAGAATTATGCGGAATTGGGTCTTGAGGCGGAAGATAATAGAGTATTCGAACCAATGGAAATTGATTACGCGATAGTCAATGTTGCGAATAAAATAGATCAGCTTGAAGGATTGTCTACCACCCCGAATTCATCAATAAATCTGGCTAGAGGTCCTAGAGTAAGTACTAAGCCGATCCAGCGCAAATGTGAGATTTGCAAAAAGCCGGGACATACTTATCGCAGTTGTCCCATAATTAAGAATATGATGGCTAATAATTCCAAGAAAAAAATCGGTCATGTGAATTTCGCTGATGGGTTCCAACAAAGCCACTCTGATACAGAAGAAATTCCTGACGAATCCGCTATTTCTGATCAAGAGGGTTATGACGGAATTGATGATGATGTACCTGATGAGGAATCCAATGTTAATGTATCCAGGATTAAAAACAAATAGATCGACCTAGAGTACTCATTAAGAAGACATCCGATAAACAATCCCGATCCAAAGACAAGAAAGATGCATATTCTTCAGAGGGTAAGGAGATTCAAGCTTCTCCTCGAGTATCACAAAATCCAACTTCAACTTTACTAGAACGACAAATTCGTGAAATTATTCAAAGTGAGCTTGTAAATTCTGCTCTATTTGAGGAGACTATAAATAAAATCTTACGAAATTTTCAGAAATCTAATGCACAGAGTGCACTTTCTCCAAAAGATCCCACAAATGAAGTCCACCCTCAAAGCAATACCGAGGATGAAGAAGTTATCGAAGATATGGAAATTAACTTTGTTCGGGATAAAGATGTGATAGATGTTCCAACTGTTCGGGGTAAAATCAATCGTTTAGTGCTTTCTGCCATTACAGTCGATCCTGGCTCAAATACTTTACTTATGTCTAAGGACATTGCTGAACGCTTGGGTTTAAAAATCGATAAAAGTGCGGTGTTTTATTTCAAGGGGGCGGCCACTGTCCTAACCAAATCTATTGGAATGGTTTATAACGTACCATTAACCCTAGCTCCTGGTTGTGTATTTCATTTAGATTTTGCAGTCATTGAATATGACAAGTCTATGGTTATATTGAGTAATCCCTTCCTTTACCGTCACAAATATCAAATACTCAGGGATAAGGATTTACTGAAGATCAATTGCAATGGGAAAGATTTTTACATTCCAGTTACTATGCATAAAGTCGAAAATAAGCTTGAGGTACATCATGTTAATGCAATTCCTTCTATTTCCGAAGAGACAGATACAGAATTAAAAAAAAACACGTGATTAATCCTAATCTCATTCCAGATACTGAAATATTAGAGTTTCATTCTAAGGTTTGGGACACACGGCAAAACCTCAAAGATGAATTTCTTAAAGTTTTAGATTATGCTGAATATCTTGAAAAGGAATTGATTCAAATTCAGGATTCAGCTTGAAGCTCTTTAGCATATTTTCGCAAATGTGCCATTCTGGCTTGCACTTCATTTTCTGACACTGACGAAGTAGACTGATTATTTAAAATAGAATGATGTATGGTTTTCGATTCCGATAGATCTCCACCTTTAGATAATTCCGCACTAGAATTGTCCTTTTTTTTTCTGCCAGTCTTTTTTGTCTGCTTATCTGAGGTAACAATAGAGTTTACTTGCATAACGTTTTCATCCATGCCAATGTTTAGTAAATGAGGTGAATCAGGAAACCGATCTACTGTATTTGATAAGCTGTGGTCCCCATTCTGTTGAGAACGCTTGCTATTTTTCCATATATCCTCAACACGATTTTCATTAATATGGAAATTCCTTACTAGCACATATTTAGGAACCTTATTTTTGGATTTCCTAATCTCTTCAATTTGCTCAGGTGTTAAAATAGTAGCACCTCGGCAATAATAAGTTTTTAGATGTGGAGTGGACATTGTTCAAAGATGTTTTTTTTTCGAATTGGGTCGAAGATTATTACTTTACTTAATAAAAGATAATAAATATCGAAATTTAATATTTTACATGGATAAATAACGTTAAAAATCAAAGTTTACCATCTACTACTGTTAAATAATGTTAAAAATCAAAGGTTACCATTTGCTATCGTTAAATAACGTTAAAAATCAAAGGTTACCATTTGCTATCGTTAAATAACGTTAAAAATCAAAATTAATTCAATTTTTTGTTAAACATATTCTCTTTAATTATATGGCACCAATACATACCTTAAATAGTGGATCTACTGTTGCCAAAAATTTTCAAGGGCGTGGATATAAATTAGATAGCACTAGAGAACGTGAGCTTGAATCTGAACATAATGAGTTACTCATTAAAACCGAATTTTTTGCTAATAAATGTTCCAATTTTAGAAATGCCAAAGTGCTTGCAGAATCACGATCAGATGGGCTTGCAAAAGAGCTGAAATCAAAAAATAAAAAGATTTTACACCTCCAGAAAAAATTAAATCGAACCACCGATGCCAAAACACGAAATGACTCAAATATAAAACAACTCAAAGAAGAAATCAAACAGTTACAGAGCAAAAATACTAATCTTGTATCCCAGGGTGCTCTTAAAGAACTTTCTCTTACTGGCTATCAAACCAAGTATTACAAAAAAATGGAAGAGGCAAATTCTTTCCAATCTAGAATAAAGTCATTGGAAGAGAAATTATTTTCAGCTCAGAAGGACTCATCTCTGAAAGCTTCCGGGATCGATTCTCTCAAGTCCAAAATAACTGAATTGGAGCTCATGAAAGATGAATTATCCTTAAAAGTTAGTGAGCTTGAACATCTAAAATCGGAGGATATATCAGAACCCATAGTTGGTGGAGATAATGAAAAAAATGCGCAGAGCGATGAACAAAGCCCCATAACCAAGTCTGACGATATATCTGCAATTAGTGAACCTAGCAAAAATCTCAGTCAATATTTTATACGTAGGGGCAAAGCCCCATTGCTATGCAATAAAAAAAATATGGATCAAGCTGGAAAAATCGATGGTATTATCTCAGATCATACTAGGCATGATGGGATTACTGAACCATCAAAAGTCGATACTGAGATCAGCTCTAAGATAAACGAGGAAACCAACATTAATGAAATTAGTAAAGATATATTACTTGTTCAAGAGATAAAGAACGTGACACCCCACCTTGCACAGCCGGAAAATCATACTTCCTCTTTGATCGAATTGCATCCTCAGATTTCGGTGGGAGGAATAGAAGCAATCCCTGCTGTGGCAAGAACTTTGATGTCACCGCTATCAGCATATATTTGTCTTATTCTATTAATTATTGCAGTTATGTGGTTCGTGGTATTGAGACACACATGGGGGTTGGAAAGGAAAAGTGAACAGTTGCAGGATGTGTGGGTTGGATAACTGTGACTATCTATTTGAACTTGGATGTTTTTTATATAACATTACTTTTTGGCAGAAATTTATCTGGATGGTTGTAGCTCATTTAATTGCTCATCCTCAGAATCATTTTCGAAGTATGAAGGCGGACATTCACATTCGCCCCATATGTCATATGGAATATTTGAAACATCTTTTCCTTCTAATAAGCTTATAATTTCAACCAATGTAAACACATTAGAATCCATGAATCCTTGTAGTAGTGCTTCCGGATTCTTTATATCTGGTAAACTATATATGAATTTTTGCAAAGTTTTCTCTCTCCATTGCCTAACCTCTTTTTCATTCCAATGATCTTTGATCATGTCAAATACAGTTAACCAATTCCAATAGGTGAAATAGTAACTCTCCCATTCTTTTCTCCATCCATATTCTTCGACAAATTCACAAAATTCCTCTGCTTCATATTCAGACACACGATAATGATAGTTTAACATTCTATAAAAGCTATTGTCATACATTGATAATTATTTGTATATATATAGCGAAAAAAATCTGATATATGAGTAAGGTAAATTAAGTGAGCGGTTGCAGGATAACCAAAATTACTGGAAAAAAGAGCACGAAAGCATGAATGAAATCGATTTTCTAGAATATAAACGAAACTTTGAGGCTAAAATGAAAGTTCCTACTACTCTGCATAAAAAAGTACTGAAAAATAAATCTATAGCAATCATTGAATATGTATAAGTGATGAAACTAATATTAGCAAAACTAACAATAATATACTCTGGCTGGGGTATATTACTATATTTATCTAGCCATACATTTTAGGTAAAGGGGTTTTTGTCGCCTCTTACAAATAAGTGTGAGAAAAAATTCAAATAAAAAATAATACTTCGATATCTAGATAATTTCAGGTAAGTACTTCTGATATATAAGGTACATATTCGATAACCATTTTTGTGTTGCCTAATTTAGGTATCAATAAAAATGATACTTCAAGGTAGTGATGTTAGCCGGTAGAAAAACCTTAGCCGGCTGAGCCGTTCAACCCTTAGCCGGCTAATAATCTGCATACATAAATTCTAAATTTGGTAATAGATTTCCGCGTTATCTTCTGGTTATGGAAATAAAATTACCAATTTAGGTAATAAACGGCTTAGCCGGCTAAGAACTTGATATTGAATAAATTTTTTATCTAATAA